GTAGGACCTTAGTTTGAAATTTTATCCATAGTTAAGTTAGGTTAGAACTGAATTACTCATTGATCAACTTTGATCAGATCGTAATGATAGTAAATATCCCACGAAGAGTAATAAAAAAAAAAAAAAAATTTACCGTTACGCGGTAAACCCTGCCCAACTTTGGAAGTTAAAAACTCAACATCTACTCAACCAAATTGGATTTTTTTTTCTTAAAGAAGCGTCTTTCCGAGTACTATTGTTCCGTACTTTTCTATTTGTTCCCACTTGCAAGTCCCGCTTCACAGGCTAATTTGTTTATAAACCAAAATTTTTAAAATTGCTAAAAAGTTAATCCAAAATTGAAAAATGGTCAATATAGCAATTGTATATTATAGTTTCAAGGCTATAGGTTATAGGCTCTCGTATTGTATTGCAGTCAAGTACTTTTGCCTAAATTTATGGCGTCTTTTTCCTTGTCAAATAATCAAAATTATTTCCTCGGTTTCAGTCATTTATTGTCTCTATTTATCAATTAAAATACGTTTCGGTGTATTTTTCCACAATCATCAGTGTTTCTAAAATAACAGATAGTTTAAAAAAATGTCATTAATTTAAAAAAACAACCACAGTTTGTCAACAGCCTCATCATATCACACATTAAAATACATCACAACTGCAATACTTTAAAACATTCTAAAATTAATTAGGCCTAACAGGTGATTAGTCAGGACAATCAAATCTGGGAAGAGACTAGAATTCTTCGTTCAGATACTTAAATATTTTACTTACATGGGTAGCGTTGTTGCTCCTTTAAGCCTTAGCATGCATTTAGAGTATTAATTTTGTCCATTTTGGACACAAGGCAAATAAAATACTGTTTATATTGATTTCTTTTACTTTCAGCTATTTCTTTTTGTATTCTGAAGATATTATTTTTGGATTGCAAAATTCTTCAATATACCGGGTGTTAGTTAATATTCTATGTTTATTTCATTTAATTAATGTATTATATACTGAGCTAAGATTGTCGGTATCTGATCTGAAATTCATAGCATTGTTATGTTTTTCAATCTGTATCATTTCATGGACTCTTCTCTTATTATAATTACTCTCGTTAATCAGTATTTTGGTGTTATCAAACTCAAAATTATGCAACTTCTGTTGTGCGTGCTGTGCTAATGCTGTACCATTTTCGTTATTTTTTCTTAGGCTATACTTATGTTCGTATATTCTTTTCTTTAGATATTGTCCTGTTTTACCTATGTATGTGTTATCACAATTCAAACAGTCTATTTTGTAAATTACATTAGGCGTGTCTACCTTGTC